GGGGGGCGGGGGGTCCCTAGTTCCTGGAGGTCAACATTATTACTGAGTCATATGAGCACATATTATATTGCAGATGACATTATAAAGCTTGATTCAAATGGATTTGGATGGGAATAGATCAAAACCACATGCAAACACACTGTCAATGAAAAAGACAGGAAGCAAAATCTATTAGTGATGCAAATAAAAGGCAACGCTGCTTCGTTCAGCATCAAAGCTCTGAGTGGACAGCTGCAATTCTGTCGGTACTAAAATCCAAATAAAGAGGCTGCACATGGCTATGAGAAGAAACAGTAATGTGATGAATAGGTTTTCACTAAGACTGTACGATAGAAATTAATGCTGAACAAAAGAAAGCGTGTTAATCTGGTGCAACTGCTCTAGGGCTATATCAGGTTTAACAGTCTATATGTAGTTTGAAATTATTATATATTAGGAGTATCTGATTCCATCTAGTCAAACAACTGACAAGCTAAGAAACTGGGCGTCCACATCAGTGAGGACCCCACTGGGACACTTAACACCACACAGCTAGTCAAGAAGGCCCAATGGCAGCTGTACTTCCTGAGGAGGCGGAGGAGGTTTGGCATGACACCTAGGATCCTTTGCAACTTCTACAGCTGAAACGTCAAGAGCATCTTGACCAGCTGCATCACTGTCTGGTATGGCAGCACTACTGCTATGGACTGTGCCTGCAGAGAGTGGTAACGACTGCGGAGAAGATCACCAGGACTCCACTGCCCTCTCTGCAGAGCATTTACCACTGCAGGGTGCGTAGGAAAGCTTCCTCCATCCTCAAGGGCCCCACCCACCCCCAGCATGGACTGTTCATACCCCTACCCTCCGGTCGGAGGTTCAGAAGTGTGAAATGCAGGACCTCTAGACTGAAAAACTCTCTTTTTCCCACTGCCATCAGACTCCTAAACAGCTGACTCAGGATCTACCTCATGTAATTCCATTTGTACTGTTGTACATTTGCACATGCATATTTGCACTCTCACTGCTGAATATTTGTACTTCATGGCTCCCACGTAGCATATTCTCTCTGCACTATATTATGTTCCTGTTGTATTTTTATTAGCCTCCTTCACTTGCTGCTTTAAAGTGCCTTAGATTTGTGTTACTGCTCATCTACTTTAAATTTCACTTGTATTGTGTGGCATTCATGTGGGCGGCAAATTAAGAATTTCATTGTATAATGAAACACATTTCCTAACTGTGCATATGACAAACACTTTGACCTTGATGCCGAACATGCCTTAAAAAACTGGCCCCTGACCTGAATACAGACTGCACTCTGAAACAAAGTGTAAACTCCTGATTGAAATTTGAAACAAGCCTTTGCCCCCAAGCTGAAACATTCCTTTAATAGGAACTGTTATCAGCTCAGACTGGCTCCACAGTCACTCAACAGTCAAGGAGATTTTTTGGTGCATCACCAACTGGCAAAGTCAATACAGTATCTGAATACTATGGCAAAAACGCATAGCAAAATTAAGCACCACTAGTGTTGTGAAACTACTAGTTACAGCCTGAAACTGACTAATGTTAGTTAAAGCAGAAAACATTTGCAAATGATTCATTTTAATCGAGGTGCTACTTAAAAGCAGCCTGTGAGATGACAGCATACAACCGTAACACTATAAACTAAGAATTTTTTTTAAGGCCATGCTAATGGATGAGCCCATGTGCATGGCCTCTTGGACATCTCTTCCTTCCTGCAGTGGCTTCAGTCACACACAAAAACAAAGTCATGCTTGTTGGCGTTTAGTCATTGTTTGAACAGTTTACAGTTTAGTCTAGTCTTCTTGCTCTGCAACACACTGAAACACTGAGGTAATCTTGATGCTACAATCAGTGACATGTGTTTCCATTTTGTGACATAAGCCATTATTTAAAGACACCAATAAGATGGAAATCTATGCTAGTTTACTGATTAAAATTAAACAAGACTGGAAATGTGCAAGACAATAATGGCCACTGCAGTTAATCTCAGAGATTGTGGAAAAAAACAAAACAAAAAAACAAACAAAAACAACAAAAGTAAACAAATTTCAATTGTGTTTGCAGTCAAACAGATTTAATCACCACCTCTGACAGCATCTACTGGGAACACTGTGTGGATTGCCAGTCTATGATTAAAAAAAAAAAAAAAAGTAAACAAATGACTGCACGCTGTGTGTGGAACTTTTGAAACACCAGTTCAAGACTTACATATCACTTATGAGCCATTTTCCAAAAACAATGTGATCTGTGCTATCAAACTACACTTCAGAAGCTGGATGCAAATATTTCAAACTGTTTCAAACAATCATTTAAAATATCTTACTGTGCTTTAAAGGAGCAGTAAATCAAATCTTTTACTGACCTCTCAGCAGCATCTCTCCTGTCCTCTGGCAGGGAGAAGACACAGCCCATGGCATGCAGCCCTGTAGCTTAACAATGCAACAGCACCACTGGCTAGGACACGCCGGGAACCACCACGCTCAAAATCAAAAGCAGGGCAGCAACACTCCACAACCACAGGATGGAAAAATAAAACCGGTCCAGAAAGACAGCTGGACACTCACAACTTCTGAAGAACTGCCTGTTCTCACTGTAGAGGCACCAACTCGATCTGAACTCGCCCTCTTCCTGTGCTGCTCTCTAAAACCAGCAGCGTCTGTTCTCCACACACACAGCACAGCAGCCCACAAGTCTTGTCAATGTCTGGCAATCGCCGAGGACACAATGGTGGGAAACTGACTTTCCCATAAAATGTAGCCGAGCTGCAGACCCACACTTCTGACTCACACAAACACACACTGAAACACTCTTCAGCTGAAAATGCGTTCCTTCTCATCCCAGCCCCTTTCCTCTCCAGTCTGAAAGGTGTTAGGAGCAAACTAGTTTACAAGAATCATTCCAAGAATTTGCCTAGTTATCAGAGCAGCTACTCGGTGGGGTGGGGGGTGTTGCTGTGAATGGTCTCCCCTCCACCCCCATCTAACTGGAGGAGAGACGGGAATGTCATTGCTATGGCAACCTCATTTATCATAAAAGGACTGCATTTGTGACACAGCCTTACTCCAATGGCAGAGCCGCTCACCCTGCGTGCGTGCGCGCACACACACACACACACACACAGAAAAGTAAAATAGGGCAGCGGGGAAAGAAGAATGAGAAAACTAACTCGGGGCAAAGAAAGGACTGCTTGTCTGTTGCCTCAACTTTCCACCTTTGGAGAAGTATCACAACATTTGTACTCTGGGGTGCAAAATGAGTTCAGGGCCAAAAGCAAATGCACAGGAAAAGACACGAAACACTACGCCCCCTTCATAACCGTTAGGTAATCACTTCTCCCTTTAAGGGGAGGGGAGAGCTTGGATCTTGAGCTGCTCCTTGTTCCCTTCCTGTACTCCTGCCCTCTGCAGACATATTCTTCCAAGCAGGCCTGCTTGCACACAAATAGATCTCCCTTGCTCGGCATCCAACACAGTCTATGTTCACACAACCACGTCCGCCGCACAGCAAGTGTGGCTGCTGCTGGCCAAAGAACGTGTGTTGTGGCTGGGGAGGGACTAACATTGGCAAGTGGAAAGAGAATCCACTGAAATCAAGCCAAGCCTCCATCATTCCACTGATAAGTGGCAAGGGGAGGGAACAGAGGAGGGAATGCTCACACGCACTGGGTCAAGAGAGAGAAGCAGCAGCCAACAGAGAGAGACATTTGGCAGAGTGATCAGATAAATTTGTGAAAGAAGAGAGGTTATGTAAAAGAAGGGTAGAGAAAACAAAGGTCGCCACTAGTGGAATATTTACAAGAGCTTTGAGCCATGCACTCACACACACTCGCTTCATGGCCTAGGAAGTGCCGACTTCTACAAAGAATTTGATGACACAGTGTGACAGAGGGAAGAGTTTGTTTCTTTCTAGCAGCTTATCCCTTTTAAGGCACTTGTCATTCTTCTCTGTGCTGGGTCCTAAGAGATTTTAGTGACTGACCAACACTGGTTGGTCCCAGCTCTGATTTATATTGTTGTAAATTGAACATTTTTGTGTTTTATACTGTTGATTGGACAAAAGACTTCTGTAGAAGTCACCTTGGATTGTGTAACTGGCACATTTCATCATTTTCCTGACACTTTAGCAAAATAATAATTCAACTAACAAAGAAAATAACTAGCAGACCTAAAAACATTAACCAACAAAACAAAGTTTATAAACTAGACACTCTTAAATGTTTGACAGACTGAACATCCCATCCACCTGAAGAACAACAAAATGTCTTCTGCAACCTGAATTTCGGCTTTTTGCACAAACTTGGATATATATGACTGGAGCTCAAAAGGAGAAACAAAATATAGTTTTAATTTTATATTAACACAACAAATGAACCAATTCCCAACACCTGAAACCAACACCATCCTCTGGTGAATACACATATAGATCACTATTATAACAGAGAGCTTGACCCCCCCCCCGAAAAAAAGAGTTGTTTTTGGCAGGTTAATGTGACACGGAGGCGAGACGAGCAGAGCTAATGTGACTTACATTACTTGCATAAAAGGTTGCATCAGTAACTCAGAGAAAAGCTGAACTGAGAGACAACTTTTCACACTTTGTGGGTCACAAATCATCTTCATGCCAAAGACAATATGGTGTGTGTATGGAAGTGAAACCCCACCGAAACATTAAAGGGCCCACTGTTAGGTATTTTT